CATAATTATGCACATTAGTGAATACCACATTGCACAACAGTGTTGAACCAAACGCACGTTAACGCATTCGAGAATGCACATTATAATACCAGTATAAGTGTATATCGCACAATAACATCACGTAACGCCCAATTCTCGGCGGCGTCACGGCTGACCGACGCTCAGGCGTCGCCGCACCTCCGCTAGGCTGCCGCGCCGCCGTATGTGCCGGAGCTCCGATTCTCTGCCATCCACCTCAACCACAAATCTCGGACAAAATCCGGCAACCGGTCGGTGTCGGGATCTTTGCATCAGCCGTCGGAGCTCTCAGTCACGCGCACACGTCGCCGTCGCTGGTCCATCGCCCTGAGCTCCATCGCCTTCGTTTTCCGTCCATCTACATAGACGGCCTATTTCACCCACCCCGCTGGAAGTAGGCGCCGGAGATCAGGTCGGGACGGGAGAAGCACCGAGAGGAACGACTGAGACCGCTTATCACGTCGACGTCAGATGTATCGGCCGGAGATGGTTGAATGGCGCCGGTGGAGTGTTGGGGAGGATGAAGATGATTTGCCCATTTGGGAATTAGGGCACGATTTAGGAAATTAGACAATCCCAATGGGGCAGATTGCAATTTGATAAAATTTGAGTACATTTAAATATGGGACATGTGCTAAATATGTGATTATAGACATTTAATAAATATGGGTTAATGATAATAAATTTATAATGTATTGTTTATGTTCACATTAAATATATATGCGATGTGAGTGTATCAAGAAATGCACATTAATGACCGACACATTGCACATCAATAACTGGCGGACTGCACCATATACAACCGAAACAGAACTAACTAAATTATTTCGTTCAAAGTTGTATAATAAAGTACAAATATGTATTTACATTAAAATTTTGGTTAATTTAATTTTGACGTTACAATTAAAAAAAATGAAATAACACATCAACCGGACAATATAAAAAAATACTATTATTATTTTTTATATATATTTCTTCAAATATATTGTTAAATTAAGTCGTAAACAACGACAAAAAAAAAAAAATTAACTTATGAATATAGTTTTATAATAAAGCACAAACAATTTACGGGATTTAAGGTAAATCAGGTAACTAGTTTGATAAACGTATTAATTCACTACAATTATAAGCAGTGCACTTTATATATTAATACGTTGCACTTTATAAAACGACACCTTGCACTTCATAAAACAACACGATGCACTTTATCACAACACGATAAATTAAAATAATTTATAATTTACATTATAAAATATAAAATATAATTTATATTTATAATATAAATTATAAATTATTTTGATTATTTAAATTAATTTAGTTAACCGAAAAAAATAATCTAGTTATTTTGGTTTTAGTTTAGGCTTGGACAAAACATTAAATAATATTTGCACTTTTAGTACGCATTAATTTAAAAATAATCTAATTAATTTTAGATGGATTGCACTATATCGATCGAAAATACGACATTTTGCACTTTATAAAATAGTACGATACACTTTATCACAACACAATGCACTTTATATATTAATATGTTGCATTTTATAAAACTCCACTTTGCACTTTATAAAATAACACGATGCACTTTATCACAACACGACACAACAACAACAACATACCCAGTATATTCCCAACAGGTTGGGGTCTGGGGGGTCAGTTGTACGCAAACCTTACCCTTGTAATTATACAAGGAGGCTGTTTCCGTAGCGACCCAAGGTGCATTGCGCCGTTTGATATATTTTTTTTTTCTAGAAACTTCACTAATAGAAGAAGCACTAGAATTTAATTGAGCCATTTTGATCTAGTCCATTATTAGCACTATACCAGGAGAATTGTCAACAATGACTCTTCCAGCTCCATTTTCAATGGACAAAACTTTATCACAACACGATAAATTATAATAATTTATAATTTATATTATAAAATATAAAATATAAGTTATTTTTTTTATAATATACATTATGAATAATTTTGATTATTCAGATTAATTCGGTTAACTGGACAAATAATCTAATAATTTTGGTTTTGGTTTAGGCTTGGACAAAACATTAAATAATAAAAGTGCATATTAATTTTAGACAGATTGCACATAAATGTCTCTCAGATTGCACGTAAATTATTGTAATTCTAATAATAGATTGAATAATATTAGTTGGTTAATGACAAATAAATTTTTTTTTGAAATAAAAAAAATAGCCGAACAGGTTGAACTATACAAACAAAATATTGCTGATTTCTTTTTCTAATATTTTTTTTACAAATGATACTATTTTTTATTTATATTTTTTATGTATTGCGAGTGCAGATTAACGTTGTACGGATTGCACATAAATGTCTCTCAGATTGCACAAAATCGAACAACGTCCAACAATCGAAAAAATTATTTTGATTAAATCGAAAAAACTATTTTATATATTTTTACTTTTAATTTTAAAAATATTTCCGATTCGAAACTCCATATGTTGTTCAAATATAATTTTCAAATTTTAAAAGTTCAGTTATTTGTGTCAATGTCGGCTTTAAGTTTTAAAATTTACTTATCATTATTATTGTATTTATTAAACTATTAATAATTTAGTACAAATATTTATTTAACTATTAATTTATGTTATAATTAAAATTTTAAAAAAATACACAATAGTCCCTAACATTAACCTAATTTCCATAAGCAAACCCTAAATCAATTCAACCCCAAATCACCAAAATTACATCACAAAATCAGCAAAATTTGACGCAGAAATCAATTACATCACAGAAATCAGCCAATTCGCCCTTCAGTTAGCCAATTTGATTACCCCTAAATCAATTACATCACATAAATCAGCCAAAAATACATCACAGAAATCACCAAACTCATTCACCAAAATTACACTCACAGAACTCGGTCAATAAGCCCTTCACCAAACTCATTCACAGAAAATTAGCAACAATCTATGCATCCTATATCAAAATTCACCTGTTCCACCTCAGCCATAAAAGCATTTCCGGCCGCCGCATCCAATCTCCCGTTCAGGTCGCCGGCGAGCTCATCCCGTTCAGGTCATCTTCGTCTTCACCACTCGAATCTATTGTCGCCCTCTGCAACTCGCCGGAACGGCTGCCCTCGCCGTCGGTACAATCGGGGAGCTCGAATGGCGGGCTTAGCGAGATTGAGATATGGGCAGGTGACGGTGGTGGCGGTGCTGGGATGGTTGGCGGCGCTCGACGGGATGGTAGCGGCGGCGGCGACGGTTGGGCGGCCACGGGAGAGATCGGGATAATGGCAGTGACCGGTGGTTTGGGGTGGGTTGATTCCGGCCGTGTCTGGGAGGAGGAGAAGGGGAGGGCGCTGACAGGGATGGCTGACCGCGCTCGCTGGGGCTGAATTTCCGCCTTGCCCGCTGGAGTGTGTGTGTGTGTGAGTGTGTGTGTGTGTCGTGTGTGAAATTGTGTGTGAATGCGAGAGATGAGAATAAAAAATATAGTGTGGGTCATGTGGTATATGTGTAATGACCAAATTACCCTTAATTATCGGTCAAATGTATATATTTGACCACAATAGTTCAGATAATTACAAGATTATCATTAATGATTGACCATTAAATATGAAAGTTTGACTTCATCTACACCATTGACTTGATAAATCTAATGGTGTAGATTTATTCGCATTAAAAGTCATTCTCATACGATCCTTTCTCTCTGTATATATATATGTATTAAAAATAGTTAGGCCCCTTCTCGACCTAGATCCGTTCCTGGCCTAAAGCAAAATTGGCTCATTATTTATTGAACTAGCAATTTTGTTACTCTTTAATATTTTGCCGACAGTATTAGCGCATGATTTAAAATTGTTCCTACAAGTTCTAATTTTGTGTCCTCAATCGAATGACAAATTTCTTTTAACTAATCCCTAAAAGCAAATTTCTTTTATCTAATTCCTAAAAGCATTTTCAAAGTGACTTTTGACATTAATAAAAGTCATCCATATCATAAGCTTTTGAAAGTGTGTTACTAATTTTTTCTCCAATGCATCTTGTCATGAACTCTTTCACGATGAGGTGGATGTCATTTAATGTTGACAATATTCAGCCCTTTCTAATATCTAACATCATGTTAAACATGATAACTCATCAATTCACTTTATATTCAATTTGAACCAAAGAGTGTCTTTCTTGGCCTGCATATTCCAAAGCGTTCGCGCGAGCAATCCTTGGTTCCTAATTTTTTATTTTTTTGCATCCATTAATTATTTTAATTGGTCCACCTATACAAATAATTTCTTACAAAATTGATGCATTGGAGATAGTAATTTGATTCAAATTTCTAATTCTTTGACACTATTCCTATGTGGATTAACATTATAATTATTAATTGACATGTGCTAAAAATAATTGTCTTTCAAATTCATAGCTAGTATCGGAGATGCTCTAAATGCCAACCGAAGCATTGGATTAGAACTTAGAAGTGCCAGCCACATAGAATTATAGGGCTAAAGTAGCAATTAAAGCCGATAAATCAGACAACTGGAGACAATCAAAACCATGTACGAGGGCACAAATTTCATGTGCTCCCAATTCAATAATTTGGGGAAAATAATCTAGTCCCAATTTTATAGTACTCTTTGCAAATTCCAAATTTGCAAAGGAAATAAGACAGACCTTATAAATTTGAAGTCATATTTGTGATGATTTTCTCTTGCAACCTAAAAATGTTAAATACGTACATTTACCATTTTCAACAAGGCACATATCATTTATGAATAAGAAACATAGAATTGGGCGTATATGAATTTGCAGCATTCCAAAATTTCACATCATTTAATGAACAATTTCATCAATAATCACACATTACGATCCCCATAACTGTGCTTATAATTTTCATACTCTTGTTCTCCAGTCACCTAGAGGAAGTTATGAACCACTACAAATCCTAGACCAGATATAAAAAAAAGAACAATACTGCAAATTATGGGCTCGAACTTTGTACAACGATCTCCGGTATCAAATTCACCTCGAGACTTCGACTTCGGGCCTTCGGCTATTCTTCCGAATCGATCTTTTCCCGCTAAACGAAAAAGATCTCTTCATCAAAACGGGCCTTTTCTCAAGAGAACGTCCAAAAGACGAGCTCTTTATCGTCCTACAAATCCTCAAATTCTTACACCCTCTTTTCAAAATCACGTCCGAAAAAATCCGCCTCTCGATAACTCCCATTTTAGCACACGAACACCCCTCGTCCCTCCTAGGACAAACTGACTCCCGATAAACATCCGTACCACATGAAAAATCCACTGAAACCGACCTCCTCACATTCTCTCTAAATCCTCGATCCAAACACGCCATACGATCACTCAAATCACTAAGCACCCTAACCCTAAATTTATTATTATTATTACTACTAATAAACCGACTTCCCAATAAAATATTAGCTAGCTGATCTTCAATCTCGATTCCATCCATTCGCACACTAACCCTAAATTTATTATTATTATTATTACTAATAAACCGACTTCCCAAGAAAATATCAGCCAGCTGATCTTCAGTCCCGATTCCATCCATTCGCGCCTCACCTCCATTTTCTCCCACTAAAACCGAGCTACTCGGGCTCGGAGGCTCATCACTTTTCGCATCCAAATTAACCAACCCACGACAAATGGGGCAATTCTTGTTCGACCGGAGCCAAGTGTCGATGCACGAGACGTGGAAAGTGTGGCTACACTTAGGCAAGAGGCGAAGCGTCTCGTTCTCTTTAAATTCGTTGAGGCAAACCGAACAATCGCCTCTTCCGAGCACGGCCACACTACTCTTTCCGTACACGAAAGTCGGGATTAGGTCAATGGTCGTCTGCGGAAGGCCGACCGTGCGAATGTGCCAAACGGGATTGTCCGGATTCGACCCGTTTTCGACTGTTTGGAAAATTCGAGCGCGGCGTGAACGGTATTTGGGTACCGTGAGGTAGGATAGGAAGACGAAAACGGCACTTAGTATGCCGAGCATTAGGATTAGGATTATGGATATCCTCTGGTGGTTTTTGGGGTGATTGGGATGTGGGATTGGGGGTGGGGATTGGAGGTAGCAATTTTCGGGGCACACGTAGCACATGTAACATGATGAAGAGGATTTGTTGTCTTGATTTTGTAGAAGCTTTCTGTAATAAAAGGCCATCAAAGAAGAAAAAAAGTTTGAAAATTATCAAGAAACAGAGCAAATAGGTGAGATGTGAAGTTAAGTGTCTAGAGAAATTGGATGAGAACAAGGATTATTATTTTCTTTTTTTTTATCAGTTTTTGGTGTCTAGATAAACGAAGCATTTGATCAAGCATCATGGAAAAGGAATTGAATTTGATGATGAGGGTTATCATTTTCAGAGGAGAATTTGAGAGGGGATTTGGTGGGAGTTCATAATGTTCTTTGTTTTGAAGTGTAGCGAAAAGTCAACGAGATTGTTGACTTAATCACGTGTTTGGGAGTTGAGGTGGGGCACTCTGCCAGCGACATGCTAAATCCAAACCACAAATTTTAGGGTGTTGTGTTTAAAGAATAATAAATGAGTTTCAAAGTTTACGCTCAATTTATGTGAAGAGAGTAGTAGCATAGGACCCCCCAGAAAGGGGCAGGAGTAGACACAGAGACATAATAGGGTGTACGGGGTGAATTTCAACCTTGGCATGCACTCTCTTACTAAGTTTCTAGGGAGATATAAATAAAATTAATTTTGATTGTATTTATTAATTAAAGTGAAATAATTTTAAATAAGGTTAATTGAGTTGAGAATTCAGTGAAATTATGAGTTCGTATTATAGTAATATCTAAAATATAAAAATTAAATGTGATGTGCACTATAAAAAAAAATTGTTATATTCTAACGAAAAATTCTATGGTAATATTTTTTAACGAAAATTCTAACGGATATTCCAGTGGTAGAGCTTCCGTTGGAATGATTCCAACGGAATTCCAACGAAAATATTTCGTTGGAATGTGTTTTTCATTAGAATTTTAGATGGAATTTGATGATTACAACGGCTATATTTCCAACGGCTTTTTACCGTAGGAATTTCTGTTGGAATATGAAATTATCGTTGGAATTTTTATTTCCACCCCCATTGAAAAATCTACCGTTGGAATCGCGAAAATCTAGTAGAAAACTCATTCCAATGGAATTTATGTTGGAATGATTTCAACGGAAATAATAGCATTGAAAAATAGTCAGCAATTGGAATTCTATTCGAATATATTTTCGTTAGAATTTCATCTTTTTCTTGTAGTGGTGATTACCAAAAAAGATGTGATTGCAAAATGACAAAGTTGATGTGTGAGTTGAGTAGTAAATTAAAGTTGATGTGTTGTATAAGGATGATTGATTAGTACTATTTAATTATAATCATAATATTGAGGTGAGTTAGGTTTGATTAATTTGAGTTGAATTTTGAGTTAAAAAGTAATAAAAAAAAAAAAAAAAAAAAAAGTCGGACATTTAATATGGGTTATATTTTATAGCCAATCGCTCATTTACACATCATGCTGAGATCTATTCACGCAGTCGCATGCGTGAGTGTATATGATTCAATATTTAGAGAAAAAGACACTAAATATTACTCAATTTTATTATTCAATATTTCTCTAAACAACATTTATAAAATAATATGTAATACAAGGCTTAAACAAGTTATTTGGAACTTTGTCTAAAAACTCTATATTCTCCCTCTCTTGAAAATATTTAAGGAACACACAATATGAAAATGGGTTTTAGGATTAATCAAACTTTATCACTTTTCTTCACAAGATTTTACAAAGAAAAAAAAATATATATTTATAGGACTCATTGACAAGTGGTTACAAAGGTAAGAGAGATTTTATTTAAGTTCACAACTCATCTTCTTTATGGAACTTATGTCCATCAAGTTGCAACTTTTTTAATTAATGTAAAAATAATTAAACCGATAAGTCATGCTTGTGAAAAATGAAACTCATCCCACATGCATTTGCTTGAAACTTATCTTATATTCATGGAATGTGTAACTTGTTGAGTTGATTCTAACGAGAATAATTTATAACTGGGTTATTTGAACCTCGGGCCATCTCTCAAGTAAGACTGTTCGGAGCTTCGCTCACTAAGTAGTTGTCCATGATCACAAAAAGAGCAAATAAAATCCTAAATATTCTATCCAGATGATTGGGGTTGAATAAGACTAAAAATAAGGAATTAAAAGCAATTGAAAGCAAGTAAAGAAGGACGAGAGCTTTAGGAGAGAAGATGAGAATTTTGGTTTACCGAAGTCTCTATAACCCGAGAAAAACGCACACAAATGAAGAGAAATATGCAAGCACCAAGTTCTTAGGTAATTAATACTAGCTTTCTTAACCTAAATCATTAAGCTTTAACCAAAGTCTCAACCTTTAAAACAAGATAAACAACTATTTAACTCCTATAATCACTTAGGCAAGCGATGAAAATAAAAAGTTCTAAACTTTCCTACATTCAACAAGCAAACACTCACATTCACCTTGAAAAATTTCATAAACAAAAAGAGAACAAATACGGAGTAATGAGACGTAAAAGTAAGTACCCGCTCTTCTATTGCGTTCTCTAAGAAAACCGGAGTGAAAAACTCGAAACTTGCATAAAAATAAAGTACCCACTTTCCGACTTGGCACGCGCCGCACAACTTATTGTTTTGTATGTTTTTGTTGTTATTTTGTTTGTTTTTGTGAGTTTTAGTTGAGTTTAGTCTATTTTAGATTTTTCTCGGTCCATTTAATCGTATTGCTCATTTTTGTACTTTTGGTGTCTTTTTAGTGTCTTGTGCTTTTTATTTCTCTTTTTACATTTTATTTTAAAAGAATTCGCATTTCGAAAAGTCGTCGGAAATAGTGCCCAGTTCGATTAATATAAGTCAGTTCATTTTATTTTCGTGAATGTATTTTTATTTTTTTTGTTAAACTCGACTAAATCTAATAAACTAGTTAAATTGTATAGATGTCCTCATCTACTTAAATTGTTTCAAGTTTATTAATTCTTTTGCTAAACAAAAATCGTTCCAATTTTTATGTTCAAGTGTAACCTCTTTGTGAGCCTTTATCTAGCCAATTTTCCAAGCAAGATTCAAGATATTTTTCGGCCACTTCAAGCGCATATTTTCTGCCCATTAACTAGAGGAAAACCGCCCCTCTTCCTAAATGATTTTGGCACCAAAACATTGAATTCAAATTCAAATCCTTCTGCCCAATTAAGGTAAGCATCCTTAACCCCCAATCCTTCCTTATTCTCGGCCACACCATTCAAAGTGGATCAGCCAAATCTTTGTGAGGTCAATCTCTTTCTTTTTGAGTTACTTCTCCCAATTAAAGTCCCTAAATGATGGCCTTAATATCAAGCAATTGATCCTCTTTTCTCATCAAACTCTCAATCCGAAATTGAAGTACCATTTTTTTCTTTTATTAGAAATTCAAAACTGTAACTTGAAAATTTAATTGATATACAATACATTGTAAGACTTTCTGGGCTAGTGATTATAGATGCTATGATTATAGATGAGTTGTTCCAATCAACTGCTCGTCTTCGAAACAAAGCTCCAATCGAAAACAAAATTAATTAAAATTAACAAGGCCCGTGTTCAGAAGAAATGACGCCCAGCCCCAATCTATTTTTCCCCAACAACAGGCCCAATATATGATTTCCAAAACATTTTTTTTTTTTCAATTCGCAGCCCATTTACCAAAACTATTTTTGTTTTATTTTATTGAAAAAATTATACTATTTATCTTTAATTCTGTTTTATTTTTATATTGTTGAATTTTTTATTTTGATTGCAAATGTACTGTAAATATTTTATTTTTATCACAAGAAAATTGCCGCAGGTCAAATTAATTAACATGTTATGTTATTCATGTAAGCATATATTATGGATCTTGAGTAAATAATTTAGTGTATATGAAATACTTACTTGATACGAAAGACGATACAATTGTGTTCTTGATCTAAACTAGTTTTTCCCTCCTGGCCGACTCGTTATGTAGAAGAAAACTGAAGGAAAAAATATTGTGTTCCCTAATTGGAGGAGAGAATACAAATTTGTATAAATGTGACATTAGATCTGATACGTCCATCAAATATTCAGATAAATGACTCAAATTTGTTTGACTAATAAATAAAGGGCTAGCCAAATAGGATCATTAATTGTGAGTCAATGCTCTCAGTTCACATATTTTTACATTCTTCCACTTGGTCCGAAATCTATTAATTTATATTAGTATTTTTGTGTATTTATTTCTTAGAATGAATAAAATTATTTGTTTAATAACAAAACTACGAATATCTATATATAAATGAGTTATTGTTGAAAATATTATATAAGGCCTCCAATTTATGGAGCCGATTCTTATCAACGTTAGTTCTTCTTGTTGTTGTTATTAGAAACAAGAAAAGTAATCCATAAATTCAACCACAAAATGTGCAAAACCTTTATCTTTGATTCCCTTCATTCATCAATATTATAACATGACATATTCTATTGACAATCAATTTAGTCTTAAAATCTCAACATCATGAACATGCTCCTTACTTAATCTACAGCAACCAACTTTTTCTAAAAAACTTCAAGACACCCCACCATTTATCTCCAACCCATCCATTCTAAAAACAAAGAAAGCAAGACCAAATACACTTGTTTTCGTCATTGATTAGAGTGAAGAAAGAAAGAAAGAAAAAATGACAGAAAAATGTCTTGATCAATGTTCTACNAGTGTACAATAAAAAAAAAAAGGACTTGGCAAAAAAATAGTGGAAAATTATAAAAAGATATATAAGTAAAAGAATAAGGAAAAGAGTGAGGACTGTTTCATTTAGAGCATCTCCAATGTGTGATGTTGACTTAATAAAATGTTAGCCACATCATCAAGTTATAAAGTGATTACAAAAATTACTCTCCAATCCATAATGTTATGGATTCTTTTATGCTGACATGGAGACAATAAATATCCAAAGTGTGAAGCTCACTTTCTAGTTTTCCAAAGAGTGTTTGAAAGCCAATTCATAAAAAATCTAACCTATTTTAATCTTTTGAAAGGGATGCATTGGAGATGTGCATTCCAAATTAAAGTCTTCTCTTT